AAATCGAAAATGAAAATATTCACATATCTCCACGTTTCAGAAGTTTCTGAACATTTTGGCATACCTCAGAAAAATTGGATGTGTGTGTTTTGTGTGTCCGCATTTTTTCGTTCACGTTTTCTGGCGTACGGATCAACCGATTTGAATGATTCAAAAAACGTTCAATTTGTAATGATTGGGAGAAGAGGTAATTAGTTTTTGGCAAAGGCAGTTACAGCCATTTCGAAGATAGAGAGCTAAATGTACAAAAAATGACAGTTTTTGAGAGAACTAAGCGTTCGATTTGAATGATTCAAAGAATTTTCTGCTTGTTTTAACAAAATAATTGCTTTTGGAAAAAAACATTTTTTGTATTAATTTTTTTTTCAATTATTTTTTCAAAAAAAAATCTGAGTAAAGTTCTAAAGCTCACTTATATACTTTAAACAAATAATTTTAACTTTGCAATTCAGTTTATATAATTTTAGTTTAATATTATCTTAAAAATCTAAATATGTTATCATACTATGCATACGCTGCATTTGTTTTTCAAACTATGTATTCTGTTTTCTAATCTGCTATTAGATTCTTATAAGATTGAAATTGGAATTGAGTTAAATATATAAAATTAAATTATTTTGCACCTGTTTTATAGTTTTGTGTGCTGAATATTGATTTCGTACCTATATTATTCAATAACAATAATTTATTATTATCTATGAAATTATTAATACTGATGCAAAACTTTAACTTTTGTTGTAGAACAATAAATAATGCAGCTATTTATTTGAACTAATGTGAAATATGATATTTAAAGAATCAATTATTTACTAAACAGTACAACTTTTTATTCAAATTTTATTACTTATTATTTCATATATACTGTCTCTATGAAATCTAAATTTAATTTCATATTAATTGTGAAATACTATACACTGAAAGTGCTTCCAGTCGCAAATAATTGCTGTAAGTTGATACCTTCAATTCTGTTGTTGATAGTAGTGAATGAATCATGCTGCTAGGAAAGCGATTAAGAAAAGGAATAAATGTTTACTGTTTTTTCTATTTAGATACTATTGCGATTAAATCTTATCATTAGTGAAAACATTATTTTTTAGTGATAGTGGCTTTTGTTTTCGTGAATGAAAACTGTGCAAAGATACAATATAAAGTGAATCATTTCAGATAAAAAAGATCATTGATGAGTCGAAAAATAAAATATAAATTATTTTTATATATAGTATATGTATTGGATATCATTTATTGGCTAATATATTATATTACGTTGCAATACAAATAGTTAAATGCATTTATAATAAAACACAGTTTGTACGTAACTATTGGCGTTAAATTAAATATAATACAAATAACGTATAATAAAAAATTTAAAAAATAACTTGTGCAGATGATAAATATTTGCTTTATTGATACATTATA